TTAAAAAGTTTTCATAAGAGCAGTCAGTCCAATGAGAAAGATATTGAGAAAGGGAAAAGTATTACAGAGGCTTTGGAAAAAAAGTGAATGCAACTCACTAGCCATGTGTGAGCCCGTAAATTGGAACTCATCGTCTTGGTCGAAATGTTGTAGAGACAGCTTGTCTAGTGTGCCCCCACTAACATACTCCAAATTAGCAAAATGGAAGTCTAAGAGACGACGATCCCTCTGATTCATGTAGACTTCACTAAAAAAGGGTAGATTAAGACTTCAAGATAATAAATCTCGGGAAAAAACAACCTTGGTTCCTGTTTTTTGAGATTACGAAGTGTAGTCTCCAAATTACGGAAACGCTCCCTAGCAGCATCATAACGCTGGAAGAATAGATCAAACAAATTTAGAGATGTTCCAAGGAAACTTCTCTGAAGAATATGAACGTAAGAGTCACCTTGATGGCCTCCCCAAGGTCGCGCTTATAACAACGTCGGAGAATATCTTGTTCCAAGCGCGAATCAGAATCAAGTGTATGATGGATGCTTCCATCCGATGACCTCAATTTTTCGGCCAAAAACTCTGCGCTTTTCTTGTACAAAATAATCTAAATTTAAACGGTGAAATGTGTTTGATCTCAACACCAAAATGGTGAAGTGGAACAATGCACTTAATTATAGCAATTGGTCTTCACCTCATTCTGAACCTGTTTCATCTTCTCGAGTATTTCCTCATAAATTTGCCAATATTTGAGACGTCTTCTCTGCATTCTTAACTCCAACATTCTAGAATTACATAATCGGTGAATTGATTGCAGTTTAGGGAAAACCAAACTAGATTATCAAAATATAACGAAAGTTTGTCCATCAAAAGACAGTTACTCGAGAATATCGTTGTAGGCATCAGCAATACTGAGCTTCTTTCCATTCACTTCAGTCACACCTAATGTGTGAGCAATGTATGATGCAGTGTCGCCTATCTTTCTGGAAATTCACTTATGTAATTTCAAGAGGCTGTTTCCATTGCAGCACCATAACCTACTTGAAAGCCTCAGCTACCAACTCGTCTTTTCGCTGATCCACCAACTTTCCATATTCATCGTAAATGGGGCAATCTGGTGTGATACGGACAGGAGTACACTGAGTCTGTCGCATCATCGTTACAATTGGATTCCCATCTTTAACGTTAATAATTTTCACATTTAAAAAAAAAACAGAAATCAGCATCAATTCTGTTCAAGACTAAAACAGGCCATTCAAACTATTTAGTCTTGTACTTACTTATTCCCGTGACTACCATTGCTCCTAGATCGGCGACTGTGCTCGAATCTTTTTGATGATAAGTGTGTACACGACCGCCAAGTCGCTTCTATGAGCAAAAAATTAACAATGCAGATTGGATAAAAACGAGGGACGCTCAGTACTTGTGCGGAGGCAATAGATAACATCCTCCGCGAATTAAGTTTAGGAAAAAAACCCCGGCAGAAAATGGACAGAAAGCGGTACATTTCAACTCAATTAAAACTTACTCGTGCTTCTAATAACACAACATCGAATCCAAAGAAGTGAAGTTGTTTCATAGCAGCTATGCCAGCAGCACCAGCACCAATGATAATAACCCGCTTTCGCTTCGAAGTTAGAATAAGAGCTGCTTAAACGAAAAATTTATGCGGTCAAAAGCTTCAAAGACTAAATAATCGAAACCTACATGCCAAACGGTGAAAATTCCCATAATTGATGAAACCATATCTTTGGAGAAAGCCGTGAATACGTCGAACAAAGCGGCGATCACCTGAGATCAAATTTAATTTCAAGTGAGCTATCTTTAAGGGCCAAAGCATGACATTTTTTCGATTTCGAGCTCTTCATCTTTCTTGGCCCACTTCAGTGTGCTGCACATTGGACTTCAATTAGCGCGAAAATGAAAAACAGTGATCCTGAACTCTTTTTGGACTGACGGGGATGATTTGCAGCCGCTGGCCGTCTTTGATTCTTCTTGCCGTGGTTCCCACGAAAAAAGCTCCCATTTTTCGGGACATATTAAAATCGCGCCGGTGCGAGGCGTCCCCGTCAATCCA